GTTTCCAGACAACACAGCAGTTGCATGTCTTATTCTCCAGGCACCGTCACACTTATTAGTGTCTTTAGTGCCTGCACAGCGCTGCGTTGTTTTCTCCTCCCGTTTGGCTCCGTTGTAAGCGGGGGATGATGTAGTGCCTGAGCCAGGGTCACATCTGGAGCCGTAATAAAGGATCTCCATCATGGGTTTAATGGACAGTGACAGCATTTGTGTTACTAATTATTTATTTGTCATTGATTATGGAGCTCGTGCATCATGTGTGAGGTTACAGCACATCTGTAGGGGCCGTGATAAAGTGCAGATATGAAGATTCTTTTTTGAGCTTTTTGACTGTTTCATTAATTTACTGTATAATTACCCAGAGGGAAACTGTCGCCTCTGTGATAATGAAGAAAGAAAAAAAAAACGCAGGATAGGATTGAAAAAAGCTAGTTAAATGTAAGGATTGTGATGGATTTATTTTTTACTTACTATTATTTTTTAACATAATTGACACAGAAAACAACAATTTCAATTTAAATATATTTTATTTCATCAATCAACGAATACATACAGAAGGTAAAATGTTAACATTTCATCAAAATATTTTTTTATTTTACTGCTGTTTGTACCAGGATCGTTGTAGCTAACGTTATGTGTTACTGATGCACCAAAAATGATGGCAAGGATATATTAATTAATTATTTTTAGATTATTTTGTCTATAATTAATTAGTTCCATTAATGTCCCTGTGTTATGATATAATATAATTTCATATTATTTTATTTATATTCAGGATTTTATCTCCTCAACTTCGTCTTCTTTCATCTGGTTATAATGAGGGCAGTGAGTGACATCACTGCAGAGAAACACACCACTATACACTTCTAGTTATCAACTGAAAAAACAACACATTTGGGGACATTTGTTTTTGCAGATTTCTGACCTTCAGTTATTTATTTTGCAGGAAATTCCCGCACACTCTACCACGGAGCACAGATTTGATGTCGCACTTTGGTGAAATCCCGTGTGACCTATGGCAGAGGTTGACTGTGGACATGCTCTGTTTGTCAGCGGTGGACGGATGCAAATGAAATACAACGCAGTGAAGACACGGTGCGGTAAACCGACTGCCTACACACACACACACACACACACAACCCCAGTGTCCCCTCTGTTCAGTCCACACTGACATCACTGTTGACACAAATCACTTCATTTGATGTGATGATGTCACTCCTAATTTTTTTTTTTTTTTTTTTTTTTGCCTTTTCCTTCCACATAAATTGAACATGTATTTATTCAGACTTGGTCTGAGCTGAGCAGTGACAGACAGTCAGTGCTGCACCTCCCTCCCTGCGTCCACTCCTCTCCCACCCTTCTCCCCCCCTCCTTCCACCGAGGCAGCCTATGATGTAATGTTCCTGCTGCTGATAGAGCAAACCCCCTCCTCCCTGCTCCTCTCTCCTGCGTTTTTAAATCCAACCCCCTCCTCTTTCCCCCCCCCGCCTCTCCCCTTTCCTATTCGCCGCCGCTTTCGCTGCCGCCGATGACAGACCTGCTGGATGTGGATGCTGGGTTCAGCTGCATCCCTTCATCCGGCAGCTTCTCACAGGATTCCTGCACAGCTTCTTCCTCCTCCTCTTCTTCCTCCTCCTTCTTCTTGTGACACTATTTCGGACCGAGAGACTCTTGGTGAGCAGCACGAGGAGCGCCTTGGTGAGTGTTTCTGGCAGATTTAAATTATTTTAGTGGGCAAAAAAAGAGGAAAAGAAGGAAGAAAGAGGAGTAAAAGGAGGCGTGGTGTGAGTTCGACACAGAGAGTGATGGACAGAGGCTGCACTCAGTGTCCTGTTGAGTAAATTGGTCTGATTTTGCAAGGAGCGTCTCGTCTCCACGGTGCTGGATGCCATGGCAATTGCTCCCCGTGAGTGTGTGTGTGTGTGTGTGTGTGTGTGTGTGTGTGTGTGTGTGTACTATGCTGTTGGTTTCCATGGTAAAGAAGAGACGGGTCCCTGTACCGGCAAATGTAGCGAGTGAAGTCATCTTGTCCTCTTCTGTGCAGAAGAATGATTCTGATTTGAAGATTACTGACTTTTAAATATATCTCCATATATATATATGTACATATATATTCCTGAAGATTTTAAATCATGACCAGAACTGGGTGTGTACTAGTGTCAGAAAAAAATGATGGGGGCTTGGACAAAAAAAAAAAAAAAATGCCCTTGAAATTCTCAGGACGGGGGCTTTTATTGACTCTATAACAAACATGGTTTGTTGTGAATAGAAACGTCGGCCTGAGCCTCCTCACCGTTAACAACTGCCATAAACACCAGCAGCTACAGGCTGGCCCCCGGAAAAACGGCCCAAGGTAATTTTTCAAAGGACAAAAAAGTTAAGAGACGACTTAGAACTAGCGAAAATATATTCTAACCTACATCATTAGCAAATGTAGGTACGAGGTTAGACACAATGTAAATAAGGTTTACTGTTGAAATGAAACCAGAAGCTGATTGGCCAAAAGACAGCAATAATAAACATAAGAATAAGCTACAATTTAGACTGAAATTGGCAACAAAACATTAGCCAAGAATATCAATTAAACTTAATAGACTGAAATTAGCAACAAAACATTAGCCAAGAATATCAAAATAGTTAATAAAAGTATTCAGTTTAAGTATATTAAAAATAACATAAAAAACCCACAATATAGCTAAAAAGAGAACTACAATATAGCCCCCAAAAAACAATTTAAAAAAAAAGTGTTTCCCAACTTACCTTCTGAATAAAGGGAAATGGCTACGTTAGCCAAACGTAGCTACATTACAGCAGAGGTATGTTAAGGTATAAGGAAACATTAACAAAGCGTAGCCCGGATTAGCTAGTAATTAGCTAAAACATTTTTGCTGAATATCAACAAATGGTTAGCCTCAAAACACTTTAACCAGTTCCATGTGGTCCATTTGCCAAGAATATCTTCAAAATTTAAAAATTAAATATTAGCTGGGAGCTAGCCAGAACATAGCTGTGGCTTGTAGCTCTGACATGTGAAATGACACAAATTAAATCTCAACAAATACTACTTGTAGCTCTGACACAAATTAAATCTCAACAAATACTTTAATTACATTTGATCAAATTTTCTTACAAATACTATCTTTGCTTCCAAAGTGTATTTCCCCCCAGGAAAAAAAAAGGAGTTTTTAAATGTTTCTCTGGTTTGGACAGAACAGTGTGGCGTGATGCTGCGTTTGAGTGCTTCATTTTTCAACTTCAGTCCTTCATGAATTTACATCAACTCTGAGCGAATGACGTAAATGCTGAGCCAAATACTTTTTTTTTTTTTTTCTTAACCTGAACTACTGCTGTCACTGTAGGAGACGTAGACTTAATATTTGATGTCTGGTCTGCTGCACATCACTCCTCTCCTCATCACTAATTCATGCCGGGCTTCCCTTTCCTTCCCTCGTCGGTCTTGTCTCCGCCTCTCCCTGTCTTCCGCTGCCCGTCCTCTTCAACCGGGACATTATCAGAGAAGCATGTCTCTGTTATCGTTATGGCCGTCCTGATGGAATAACACGCCTCCAAATCATTCTCTAATGTCTAACGTCCGCCCGGTGGGACTGAGACACATTCTGGAGAACGGTCCCTGTTCGGAGTACTTTTACTTCCAGGGTTATTTTATGACGTGCCTCCCGGGAAACAGTGCTCATGTTTACAGCCGGTGTAATTGGTGTTTGAGACACTGCAGACACAGAGCAGTTGAGTTTTATTCTGCGGAGGTTATCACTCCTCTGCGTGTGAAGGAGCGGCTGCACTGGAGTGTGTGTGTGTGTGTGTGTGTGTGGGGCTGTGGTGAACAGGCGGCTGAGACGTTTATTTCCACCTGCTGTTTTCACCTTGGTCAGCTGAAAGACACAATGATGTCATCGCAGCAGTGGAGGTTAAAAATGAATGATAAGACACTGAATGGTTTTGTGTTCAGTGCTCAGTCCAGTAAACATTGATGTTTTTATTAGAGTAACTGAATATTAGCTGATAAACTAACCCTGAAATGACTTTAAAAGACTCAGAAACCAGTGAAGGTAACGGAGATTTTTTTTCCCAAATGTCAGCAAATGTAGATAAAAGAATTGCCTAAAAATTAATAGAAATAAACTATAGCAATATAAAAGAAAATTAATTAAACAGTTATAATTAGAGGATATAAAAAAATTTAAATAGAGTAACATTATTTAAAGTAAAGTGTGAAGAACCCATGGCTTCGTATTAGAAGAAATTATTAAAAGTTAGCCTAAAATTTAACAAAATAAAGTTATCAACAGGCAGCCAGAAAGATACTAAAATATTAACTATCTATGTTAAAAAAAATAAAAATAAATTACCCTGGTCATGTTACAAATGCCCTTTAAAGACAATTCATGAAGCAAAAAAGAGGGAAAAAAATGGAATAATTTGCCTGAATCAATATCCTTCTGTTAACAGTTAACGGCTTATATTAACTAAAGACAAGCCAATTAAATTCTCATTAATCTGGGTGAATCATTGCGTGGTGTTAAATCCATATGTCTCTAACATACGGATACTGTGAGCGCAGCAAATTTAAATTCTCAGCCAGGAAATGTGCTTGATTGAATCCCTGCTCTGTGGAGCAGAGCTGGACATGGCTGCGGAGGAGGAGGAGGAGGAGGAAAATTTGATCAGCTGCCACGGCCACAGAGAGAGAGAGAGAGAGAGAGAGAGACACCTGAGGAGTGTCCAGGCTGAGCTGCTCCTCTCACTCTGCGGAATTTCAAACAGGCTGGACTTCACACTGGAGGTCTTCCTCTGACTCTGGCCAATCTGATATTCAGTGTTGGCAAAAATTCAAAATGTAGACGGATTTCAGATGGAACAAAAAAAAAGGTCAAATGTAACATAGTTGGTTCAGAAAATGCTAGAAAAAATATATAAAACAACGATTAACAAAAAAGGTCAACCATTATTAAAAAAAATTGAAAATAAAAAGTCAAAATTAGAAATATGTTTGTGTATTTAAAAGTTAAATGCGGTCAAAGTTAAATGTTGATACAGCTTTTGTATCTGGAAAAGCAACAAAGGGAAATGCTGTTAAAACATGTTGACAAGTCAATGAAGAAAAAGCTATAAATTAATAAAATTCCATCAATAGTTTTCCCCAATATCTAATTATCTAACATTATAAAAATTATCTTTGGTTATCAAATATAATGTTACCTAAATATTTACCATAAACTAGACCAAAAAAGTCATTAGAAATCCTGGAAATGAAAATAGAAAATTGATTATCAATCACAAAACAATAAAGAGTGACCTAAATATGTAGCTGAGAAAACTAAAATAAAAAAAGAAAATAAACCAATCTAAATAATAAATGACAGTGAAGGTGAAACAGAAACAGAATAACCCGAACATTCACAGCAGCTCACACTTCCACTCTGTCTATTCTGTTAATTGTCCAACATTTCCTGGTCCATTTCTTTTAATGCAGTCAGTGTGAAACTCGCTCAGGCTCATGACTGCGTGGTCATGTGACCTTTGGTTGACTAGAACAGCGGTTATGGTTTCAGACTGGTGACTAACAGATAAGAACTTGTGATGGTGTAAATGAGCACGTATGGAAACGTGTAATCAAGACCTGCTTTATGAGTCAAAGCGGTGACACTTTATTGTGATTACACACCCCACGCACTCACACACACACTGTTTTTTTGTGTTTTTGTTTTTTAATACATAATCCATCTCTGTGGCCTCTGACTCTAATCCAGGCATTATGGCCCGTTTAACTTTATTTATTTATTATTATTATTAATTTTATTATTAATTTATATCACCATTATACTTCTGACTTTTCCCTGTATTACCTGCATTTTCCCAATAGATGGCATAGAGTTTTAGCCTTTTATGCATGACTTTTACAGGTCATTTTTCCTCCATCTATCTGCTCCTGACCTGCCCCCCTGGTCGACTCGTGGGCCACAAGTTCGCTCACGCCTGCTCTATATAAATAAGTTCGACTTTTGGATAAAGGTAGAGCCTGATGCCCATACCCCATACCATAAATCTCAAAATAAATTCTCCGTTAGTGGGGACCTGAAAAACGTCCCCACAAGGACAAGGTGTCCTCACAACGATAGTATTTTTTTTCTAAAATTGTCCCCACAACTATAGATATACCAGAAAGACATTTACACACATACTAGTTTTTCAGATTTGGACTGAACTCCAATTTGACTCCAGGACCTGAAACATGTTCCCACCAGGACAAACTGTCCCATCACCACCAGAGAGTGTGTTTCTTCCCAAAAATACGTCCCCATAAATACATGGATACCGGGTTCTCACACACAGACACAGACCGGGGTGTTGCTCACTGGCACCACATCCCAGCCAGAGGGCTCTCTCACAATCCCACAATCCCCCTCTGCCATAGGGAGCCACGCTGTCATCACATCTGCACAGCGTGAATCGGCAGATCATCCGTCGGCAGAACATCTGAGCTGCGCGTGACACAATGGACGGATTACAAACCACCACCAACACGTACGCAAAAACCACCGCACACCCCGAGTCACACACCACCGCCGTGGGTCACGTTGTTCCACTTCCTCACAGTTCATTCACCTTTGTGTTCAGAAAACTACCAAGAAACTGGAGCAGGGATCCAGTACCGACGTGTCTGTGTCTGTGTGTGTGAG